TAGCTTGCCAGAACCGTGTGGGAGGAACAAGAGGATAAGATTGGCACCTCCCTGAGGAATTCACACTGTTGTGGCTGGAGGGCTTTGGGAGCTTGGGTTTTAGTCTGGGGAGATTCTTGCTAGAGGTTGTAGCTAATAAACATAGCTGGACTGAATTGGCATTGTCTCTTGGAGTTCCTTGGGCTAGGCCTGATATCAACTCCTCCATTCTAAGCCCCTCCCTGTCCCTCCTGGTCACGTGACCTGGAGTGGACAGTATGCAGTCCACCCCAGGCTTCTCAGAGCACCCATTCAAACAACCCCCCAAAAGATGCAACAGGCTACTTTGTTCCACAGAAGAAATGCCTCTACTGACCATTTTTGTTCCAGGGGTTGGAAAGAATTCCAGAAGCCGGGGTCTGCAGGCTACCTTGTTCCACTCCCCTCCCCACTCCCCCCAAAACAGGAGCATGCTCCTAGTTCTTGTGACTGTGAACAGAAATGTTGGAAATGTAATGGGTGTTTCTTCTAGTCACTTTCTAAAGACAGAAAAGGTCTAGATATGATGTCCATAACTCCTGTGCACCAACCTTGGATGATGATAACTCTGTTGAGTCCCGACTGTATCAGTATGACCAGTTTCTTTGAAGGCGTGGGATTTATAGTCTGCAGTGTGGGGAGGACATTACGAATTTGTCCAACATTTGTATAAGAACACCATTTTTGTTCCAGGGGTTGGAAAGAATTCCAGAAGCCAGGCTACCTTGTTCCACTCCATAAAGGCCACTCTAGATCCACAAAACCAGTGTTTCTCAACCTGGGCAATTTTGCTGGCTGGGGAATTCTGGGAGTTGAAGTCCACAAGTCTTAAAGCTGCCCAGGTTGAGAAACACTTCACTAGACCATATCCTCTAATAATCATATTTAGAAATTTCTGGTTTGGAAATTCACCTCCATTCCATAACCGTTAAGCACACTTGAGACCCATCTTCCTTTTTCCCAGCCTGGCACACTCCTTGCTGGCTTTGAAAAATAAACTTATATTTTCTCTCTTTCTTTTCAGCACCACCAGAGATACCGTCTTGAACGGCTATTTCATTCCAAAGGACCTCTGCATCTTTATCAATCAGTGGCAAGTCAATCACGATGAGTAAGTAGTGAGTGCTCATGGGTTCAACCACAGTTTGTTTAAGCATGGTGTGTGAACTCTCTGGATTCCTGCTAAGCCCAAATCAAGCAACCGTATTAAGGGTTGGTGTAACGTGTGAACTCAAGCCAGCAAACCCAGATGTTTCATTTCATGCATCCCCTTTCTAGGAATCTTTGGGAAGACCCCTCTGCCTTCATTCCCGAGCGTTTTCTCACAGCCAATGGGAAAGAAATCAACAAGGATGAAAGTGAGAAAATCCTGTTGTTCGGTATGGGGAGACGGCGGTGCATCGGAGAAGCCATCGCTCGAAGGGAGATCTTCCTTTTTTTGACCACTTTGCTGCAAGAAATGCAATTCAGCGTTCCTGATGGGGTGACAGTGGACCTGACCCCTCTCTATAGCCTCTCCATGATGCACAGGCGATGCGAGCACGTCCAAGTGAAACAGCGTTTTCCAGCAAGGATGGATTAATTGCAGAAAGGACAAATTGCCAGCCAGCCCGTTGAAGGAATCTCAGTCTTTTAGGTATATTTTTGTATAGTCTGTCTGGGGAAAAGCTGTGTATGAACCTAACCAAAGTTAGTAGCCATGTTTAAACCTAACCAAGGTCTTGGCCATCAGGATAGATGTCGTGGCTGTGATTTGTATTGCTACAACTATATACTAGGTGAAAAAAACCCTTTCTTTGTGGAATCCTTGTATTCCCACTATTCAACTTCATTGAATGACCTGGATTTCAGGCGTATTTTCTAAACCTCGATTCCTTCCACCCCTAGTCTTTTTTTTCCTAAACCAAAACGCCCCAAACTGTTCTGATAGAAAGCCTTCCTCTTAAGAAAGGGAAAACCAACCTTCCTTTGATTTCCAAACTTCTAAGGGAAGCATTCTCCACTATCTTGGCCATGATGGGTTTGGAACAATCAGGTCACCAAAACAAAGGAACCAAGCTGTTTTATTTCTGCTGTAATTTACCTTTCCAGTTCCGGAGGTAACTGGGTTGATTCAACAGCCAGGCTGGTAAGGTATGTGGGACTTTGCACGGATGCACATCGACACAGAAACTGAACGGCGGGTTGAGTAATGACTCTGGCCTTTGTCCAAGTCAAAATTGGAAAGGAGGCCTGCTGTTACTAGATGAGCACCAGCTTCTTTCTTATGTAACTGCTTGGTGGCCGACTGTCAGAAAATAAAACTTGATACGGTACAAGAGGATTTGAGACGTTCAAGAGTTTATCTACGAGAGAGGGAGGATCGGAAGTCAGGAAGGGAATTTTAGGAGGAGGAAGACGTTGTAAAAACCCACACTTTTCTTTAAGGTAGACTTTCTGGCCCCGGTGGCCTCTAAAGGGGCTGGACTGCACCTCCCATCGTCCCCTCTGAACATGGCTATTGGCTCTCCTGCTTAGACGGCCCAGAAGCATTCTTGGAAATCAGGAGGGGATGTTAGAAGCATCTTGGTTTGAAGTCTGAGAAACAATTAAATCAGACACACACTTTTTGTCCCCTCGTGTCCCAAGGCTCCCTCGTTCTTGGGGTAGGGACGTCAACGCTCTCTGGGGCTACCTAAAGAGGGCAAAAGGGGCAAAAAACTAGAGCAGTGTCAAGTCTACAAGGTCCAAACCCCAATTCAGAAGAATTCTCATGAAACCAGGCCTGGTTCAGATAAATACTCCTTTATTGGATGGTTTCTGCTTCTCTTCCTTACGCAGTTCTGCCTGCTCCCTGAGAGAGTTGCCAGTGACGCCGCTATGGCTTATTTCTTCCCAGGGGCCTTTTCTCCCCCATTTGTTTTCCCCAGCAGAGCATGAGGAATGAGGAGTTACACAAAACCAGCTCTTAATGGGCACATCTATCTCCTCTCACCTTTCAGCTCCTGCTTTTCTTTCAGAATAAAAGCGGCATTGTTAGCCTCCCTCTTTAACATCAAGTGCCTCGGAGGACCAACAGGCTGTCTGGATTCCAAATTCCGGGGTTGCCAGCCTGGATCAACAGCGCCACAGGCTGGTGGCTGGGGGCATGGCAGTTCATTCAGCTTCAAGCTTAAATTTGGAGGACAAGGAGCAACTCTGGAGGGGCCCAAGAAACTATACTCCTGTAATGTCACATAAGAACATAGGACATGGTCTAATCCTGCTCTTGACCACTGTTTAATATACATTAGTACAACCTAAGTTGGAAGTTGTGGATTTGCTGTATTCTCTCCACGTGTCTGAAGGGACCACAATTTAGTGAAGACCACACGCATGGGACGGATCAAACTAGAATCCAAAGTGGGCAGAACTTTGTGGGTGTCTCTTCCTCTTCCTTCTCAACCGGTGAGAACCGGCTTTCTTGACAGGCTTTGGAACTGATCGGGTACAGAGGGCTTTTGCATAAAAATAGCTGCATTTCCTTGATACTAACCTGGTTAGCATGGTCATTCACTCACCCACAGATGAGCCTTTGGCAGCTCTGCCTGGAGATGCCAAGAAGTTAAGGACTGAACCCAAGATCGCTGCCATGCAGAACATACCCTCTGCCCCAGAACGACACATTTTCCTGCAAGAGGTGGCATTGTAATTGTGAGGTCAGGTCATCCAAGGGCAATCAAATGATGCAAGAATGAAATGAAGTAAGTACGGTGGTCAGTAGTTTGTCCCCAGGCTGGAAAGGAGCAGAGAGATTGCCTCTGTGCACGCAAATTTTTAAGAAAGGTTTAAGGCCAGGGGCATCAAACTGGTCTTTCCAGTCACCTATACAGCTACCCAAAGGTGTGTGCGCGCACACACACATGCAAACTTGGGAGGGATGGCTGGGGACATGAGTCCAGGCCAGAGGCTTCTGGGTGCAAGCAGTTCATAGAATTTAGTCACATCATTTCTTTTGTTATGCATAAATATAAGCATCGACCTTCAACAGGCCAGGCCAGATTCACTCTGTTGCAACAGTACCCAGATAGCCATTCAAATTATTTATTAAACTTCTTATTGGCACAATCCCCAAAGTTTTCCAGGTGGTTGGCGAAGTTATAAATTAAAAGCCGAAAAACCATCCAATACAATGAATAAACAGCAGGGGAAAATGATGGCGAAGCTGAAAGGGATTAGAATGCAAGCATTGCAAATAAATCACTTCAAAAAACGGCCTTCAAACACTATTTAAAAAGAGAACAGGTAAAATTGAGAAGGGAATACTGCACTGAGGGTGCACCCCCATTAATTGGTGCTGGTCAGAGAGGCCAGTCAACTCTGTCAACTAATAAATAAATGAATCTATTCATTTTTGGAAACGGTGAGGGCTACTGATGGGGAATTTGCAGCAGCCTTCCGCAAGCCAACATTCTTCGGATGACCTGGACTCCAGACGGTCTGCTCAACCACACGGCCCTGATCCAAATCGGACGCTGCAACATGGGATTTGCAAGGGCGACGCGCTGCTTGGCCCCCAGAGTCAGCAAAGCTGGGCTGGATGGAGTCCCCCAGCCCGACCTCCCTTGCAGGGTGAATATTGCAGGGATGGGAGGGAGGAGGAGTGTCAGGTACGCTGCTTGGAGCTCCTGCAAGAAAGGTGGGATAGAAATCTAACAAACAGACCAGTAAAAACTATTCTGATCTGAGAAAGCATTAATGACACCGCCTATTGTATATCAGCCCAGGTAACTGCCTAAATCGGCGTTTGAAATAATACATATACTGATAGATCCAGTGTACAATTCTAAATTTCAAAGGAGGAAGATTAGGCTGACCTAAATATCACAATTACAGAGTCTCAAAAATCATTTGCCTTCTTCCTTTTCTGTCTTCCCCTTCTTCTTCCCCTTTTTTCTCTCTTTTCCTTCCCCTTCCTCTTTTTTCTCCTCCTCCTCTTCCCATTACCCCTTCCTCCCTCTTTTATTCATCATTTTTCTTCCCTTTTTTTCTTCTCCTTCTCCATCATCATCTCCTCTTCTTCTCCCTCCCCCTCTCCTTCTCTCCTCCCAAGAATTATGCAAAGAGCTCCATAACTATACCTGTTCTCTTCTGCTCATGAAAAAGCACTGAGTGAATGAATATATACATATACATATACATATATATCTTTCTTCCTTCCTTCCTTCCTTCCTTCCTTCCTTCCTTCCTTCCTTCCTTCCTTCCTTC